CCTTTCGCTCACACCCTTGGATCTTGTACTCGTCGCTTCACCGTCGAGGCCGGAATATACGGGTTGGCGATGTGATAACATATACACATCCTATGTTTCCCAATCAGCATGGTTGCAAGCGGGTTATTGGTATGCCAGGCGATTTCGTCAGTGTTATTACGCCGGGACGCAGCGACGAGGATATCGAGGCCGTTGATGCTGATGGAAAGTGGGCGAGCGTGAGGGAAGAGGTGATTCGAGTGCCGGATGGGCATTGCTGGGTGCAAGGGGACAATCTGGAGTGGAGTAGGGATAGTAGGCTGTTTGGTCCTTTGCCGTTGGGTTTGGTAAAATCGAAAGTGTTGGCGGTCATTCTACCATTTCGCGAGGCAAAATGGGTCGGTAGTTCGGTTGATGTAGTTGATCCACAGGAGAAGGAAAGAGAATGGGTTCTGAAGTGAGAGATAGGACGGGGCAATCTTGATGAAATGATACTTTACTCAATCGCCTAGATAAACTGTCACCTCTACTACGAATCAACTACACAGGCAATTCCTATAACAGCTCTTGACAACAAGACACAATAAAGACAGGAGAAAAAAATGAAAAAAACCTCGACACATCGAACTTCTATGCGTATAAGACCAAAGTCATAAACCATTCCGTAAACGCCAAACAATGCATTGCCTTTCTGTGATCGCACACGCTCTCCTCCAACAAAAACACGCTCGCTCAGTCCCAGCTCTGCTTCTCCACAGACGGCGTGCCCAGAACACCAACCCCATCACCCCTCCTCTTCCTCTTACCCACAAATTCGCTCGCCCAATCAAACATCTGCCACGCCCAGCTCCCCGCGACCATAACCCCACTAACAACATTCACCAGCGTAATCAGCAACTTCCAGAAGCTCTTGCTCTCCTCGACAATCGCCAGCATAATCGGCTCAATATCGAACTTGACAAAGATACCAGGCACATAGCTATCATCTACCTTATGCGACTGCGAGGTAACGGCGTACTGGTTTGTCTTGATAGCGTGCGCCATGCGGAACAGGTTGGATGTGGGTTGATCTTTTGTAGAGAGGGCGGATTCCATGTGAGGCATGAGGGTGGGGTCGTCGGTGTAGATGGTGGGGACGATTGAGAGGTAGTATTGGAATTTGTAGAAGTGGTCTGCGGGGGTTGGGGTGACGGCGATGGTGGAGTCGAGGGGGTTGGTCAGCGAGGGGTAGTAGGGACCGAATGACATTTCGCGGATGATGTGGGAGAAGTTGAAGGCTAAGGGGGTTTGTTAGTTTGGGATGAAGGAAATTACCAAGGGGGTTCTGGGATGTTTGATCTTACATGAATGGTCGAGGTGTTCTCCAAATTCCATGTATCCGTGTCCTCTGGCGGTGATGTGGAAGTCTCCCTGCACCTTGTTTCCCACGAGATTGCCGTAGATTCTACAACTGTCCGTCGGACCGCGCAGCTTGGGTGTCTTGCTGAACTTTTTCTTGGTCGCTTTTCCCAAATGCTCGTGCACATCGCCGTACTCTTCCCATTCCGGAATCTGGGTTGTCTCGTCGCCCAACTCGTGCGTGCCTTTCTCAGTGTTCTTGCCAGTCCACTGCGACCATGAGGTTGGGTCTTTACGAAGAAGCTCGCCAGCTAGCGTGCGGTCACCAGCTGCATCTTGCATGTTTACGTGGAGGTCACCACATTTCATGGCGACGATTATGTCGAGGTTTATTTGCATGTCGTGAGATACGCCCTTTTCGATGGTGAAGCTTTGCGTTGTTGTGCCAGCATACCAGCGCGCAATTTCCGACCAGGTCAGATAGATGCATGTAATGATGAGGGTTACTGTCCATGCCGAGGAATTGCGACCCTGGACAAGGTATGTCTTTTTGGTTTTGGCTGTGGTTATCTGTTAGTTGTGTTGCTCGTCTTTGAGTGAGCAGCGTCGCATCAGTTCAAACCACCATTGCAAGTGATATGATTCACCTTTCCCAAATTTCTGCATGTACAAGTCCTCTCAATCTTCCGTAGAGAAAGTAATACTTACGAAAAGCATCGAAACTTGACACGATGCCCCCTTTGGCGGGTCCAAACGCATCCTCATCATGCCCATGCTCCCCGAAACCGTTCATTCTGGCTGCTCAGTCGTGACGCTAGGGTACTGCAGCCCCAGTCGCGATTCAGCAAAAATCAAAATGGGGAGAAAGTAAAAGGGTGGGGTGAACTAATGAGCGACGTTGACACAAGTAGGTAATGCGACGCGAAAGGCCACCTTGAACTGCTGTAATGATCGACGTCCGTGCCCGCGGAAGAGGCCCGTTTAGGATCGCTCCGCCACGTGCTTCCTTCACCCTGCGAACTTATCGCAAGCACCACCCCGCATGACGACAATGTGCCCAAATTTTTATTTGCATCTCTTAGAGTTCATTATGCTTGTTCGTTATCTTAATACTGCCTTGCTATATACCATACATGCTACCACATCATGCCTTTATTGATTAAGTTTAAGCAGTAGTCTCCCCAAGGTTGCTAAACTTGCTGTCGCCATCCTGTGCCATGTCGGCCCTCTTGGGAGTAACACCAGCACTTGCAGCGTTTACACCCTGCAGTTTGCGCTCAGCTTCCCTAGCAGGATCGTTGATGGTACCAATTTCGCCAAATTTGCGGTCTCCGTGTAGTTCCGGGTCCTCTGTCAAATTGGCGCCCTTGGGCTTAAGTACGCGTGGATCGACATGTGTACCAGACAGAGCAACGGGCGCTGTACCCGTCACGCTCGATGCCCCTCCAGCGCTACCCGAAGTGCCGCCTAGACCTCCTAGATCTTTGCCTGAGTTTATGGTCTTCTCCTCGTTCCATCCTTCCTGAGCATCTCGGGCTTCAGAGTTGACGGCAGCGCTGAGCTTGACGGCGTTTGACGTGTCGGTCGTGTTTGTGGTTGTTGATGAAGAAGGCTGGTCTGAGACTCCTGCCTTGGGGTTGCCTTCACCAAAGTGGCCATGATTCTTAAGGGACTCGCCTGCGAGAGAGTCGGATGTTACGATACCGACCGCCTCGTTGATGGGAACTTTCGACGCAGGGTCGGTAGTTACCTAGGAGATGAAGTCAGCTATGTTCTTACACCCAGTATCTTGCTATGAGGGTAAGGCGAGGGTATACAAGCCTGTTCTCTGGTAATACTGCATGCATACCTTTTGTCCGATGGAGGTCATGTTGTTTAGACGTCTTGTTACTTAGGAATAAGTTGAGCTGTTTTTTCTGGGAGAAAATAGGATGCAGGTATTCAGTTGGAGAATTGTAGTTGGTATGTTATTCTCCCCGAGGAGCGCAAACTGCCTTTAATGTATGCTCATAAATCATTGTGACCTATTCATACGTATGGCGTGTGTTGGCGTTAGTGTGACGTCAAAGGCGCTTTACCTCAGTCCTGACTACTAGTGCTGCCCTGTTCTGGGACAGACGTGGTGTGAGACAGACTTAAATCACGGAATCTACTCCATCAAACCGCAATGGACATTGGGCATTCATTTGTGCTTTGCGGCTGGGATAGCGTCGGGAATAGTCGTGTCTTGGCAAGCCTCCATGAGCGCCTAGTTAGCGTCTACGTACACTTACTTGTTTGGACCAAGAAGGTGAGCTTACAACATTCAACTCTATACTACTACTAGAAAGTGACATATGCTTTGTAAAGCATATCTGGAAGCATGCTACTTTTACCACCCCACAATCCATAATCCACAGCCTGTTTGGGTATTTGGTTTTCACAGTTCCAACATGGTTTAGCTTCGATCAAGAGAGCAGATGCACCAGTCAGACAGTTGACCACATAATAAAGGCTACGTTCAGCAAAAATCATGACGGATATTGGGAAAATATGTGTTTCGTCATTCATTGAATCCATATATTAATTCATCAAGATACTGCTCTTGCAGTCGGCCGGCTGAACGCAGTGACAGAGGCCTGATACGATAAGAAAATCCTCCATTCCCAACTATGCTTTACATGTTTTTGTTCGTCATCTCCTTATAAAATACCCTACTGCTTGAGGCCGGAGCTGGGGTCGTTCTTGTGTGGGTATCCGTAGTCCTTGCCAGTTGTGTCGGCAAGGCCAGGGTGGTTCTTGGCCTCACGAGAAACAGCATCGTTGGGGATGCCCTCGAGACCATCCTTTGCCTCACGGGCTGAAGGGCCACTAGCACTGACGGCAGGCTCGCGGATAGCTCCGCCGCCAGAGGTGAAGCTGTCTTCTTGGCCACCCGAGCCAACGTTGACAGTACGAGCGTCAGAAGAGTTGAAGTCGGAAGCGACTGGAGGCTGGTCGGGAAGAGAGAGGTTGGACTGGGCCTTATTGATGGCCTGGTCGTCGCCCTTCATGTCGACGACAGTTTCGGTGTAGCCTTGCTTAGAGTAGACCATTTTGATGGTGCTTGTGTGCTAGGTATGTTAGTACTCAGAATTACTGAAGGCATGCATGTGGGGCCGCGTCTCGCGTCAGGAACACCGACTTGAAATCCTCCAACCATCTACTGCATAGGAATGTACTTACTTTATGGGTATGAAGAGGAAGAGAAGAGTATTGAGAGTGTGAGTTTGATGTTGAAAATGTAATTGAAGTTGTGGTTGTGATACTGGAAAGAAGACTGCACTGTCGGGCGCGTTGGTGATTTATTATGGTAGCTGAGAGCACTCGCCCCACCATGACGTTTCACTGATGCAATTTGCCCATCGCAGATTCCCACCCCAGCAGAGTGGGTTTGTTCGCATCATCGGATGGTCTTCTGCAAAATCAGCTAGGGCTTGCGCCCGTGCATCGGGACAAGCGAACCGCAATTCTGGAAAGTGTCGCGTGTCAGTTGATTGTGATTGGGGGAACTGGGAAGCCGAGTGCAGTAAGATGTAAGCAACTTATGATTGCTTCCCTTGATGATGATGATGATGATGATGATGAGAAGTTTGAGATACAAGTATCCTCATGAGGAATGCGCCTAGTTTCTCCTTGCAATTTACCTTTCCCAATTTCTACTCCTAGCAAAGTCTGCAGATCATCCTAGCAATGAAGCAAGAAGGAAACCAATGCCAAAGACAAAAATAAAAAACACCCAAGTGGATAATGGGAGGTATTGGTTCACAGACCGGTACTATGGCAGAGACCTGCCAGTTATCGGACGGGCATGGCAAGCGGCATACTGCCTGAGTTCAGCATAACGAGATCTTCTGATGCTTGTTTTTACCAATGGATCCTGGCAAAAAGTGGTCCCTGCATCGGGGTCTTGGTCACCACGTACATATTTCATGTAGAGTAGATTATGACGTATATGCGTGAGTGTTTCAAGGTATAGATGCCCAATTGCGCAGGAACCAGTCTTGGAAACGAGTGACGTGGATGTCAGGGAAGACGGTGTTGAGGTATGCGGGCACTACAAAGTCGTAGCGTCCCTCTGCCGTCGCAAGTAGCGGAGCGAGCCGTCTTTGCCCAACTACATCGCCTCCCAACTGTGCCATAGTCATCTGGTACTCGAGGTCTGCGAATTTAGTCAGTACATAAGTTGATATATAGTGGTGGGGTGACGTACTTGCAGGAGCTTGGTATTCAATGCTAACCCAAGCACGATCTAACACAAGTCAGTTCAATTTCTTGTCATACTTGAGAGGTTTGACATACTCCTGCAAGCTCTGATCGTCTCAACAAGACTATGCACAGTCATACGCTCGCCACACATGCTCATCTCAGAAGCCCAGGTGGGCATATCAATGGCTCGAACTACAAACTGTGCTACGTCATATGCAGATGTTAAACATAGCCAAGAAGGGTTTTGCGCGGCATCGTAGATTGGCGCTATCGAGATCATTTGTCGAGGATTGGCAATGAAGTCTCCTTCGTTGCCATAGCCCGTGCTGGCTCCCATACGGTGAGACATCATTCCATTGACGGAGAATCGCTCATAGAGTATACCACAGACGAAAACGGTGTGCTGAATATAGCCACTGTAGTGCTTGAGCAAAGCCAAGGCTGAGTCTTCCCCACGGTCGAGTAACCCATTCTGACTTCGCAAACCGGGTTGACCTTGGAACTCGGCAGGCGCGAAACGTCGCACACGGCATTGTACAGCCGCTTCAATGAGCCGAAGCTGGGGGCTTCCCAAGACTGTGGATATGACTGTGTCAACACCCATCAAGGCATGCTGAAGGGAGGCGGCATTGTTGTAGTCAACAGTCTGGCAATTGTAACCAGATGCTATCAGACTTGTTTGATGCTAACAGTAGTCAGTTTGGCCAAAGCCGTTTAGTGATCTGGTGCGGAGCTATCTTTGGATACATACCGTTCTTGAGAGAATGACCAACTGGTGGCTAGTCGAGTTGTTGATCTCCTGAGCTATTAGAAGTGCTAGGCCACAAGTACCTGATGTTAGTTGCAAAGTCAGCATATTTCTTAGAATATTCTGGTCACCATCTCACCTGCTATAGCGATGCGCATGTTGGCCGGCATTGCTATTCACGATTTATTCGGGCTCCTTAGGTTTCGAAGGATTTCGAAATTTGACGACAGGGTTCGACCTCTCTCCCTTTTCTATTAGCACACCCAGGACTCACCTTGAGCACCACCCATGACCATTTACCCTTCCCATATTACAGCGTGTTGACGTCCGTGACTCACAGGGGTGTTTCCGAACCCATGGTAAGGTGGAGGCCGGCAGCCATGGTGAGACGGCCGCTACCACCATGTTCTGCAACATCCAGGGATGGTTGGGGAGAACTTGGAAATTTCTGGTGAAATCCATTGGCAGACCACATATCTGATACCGTTGCCTGCTTCGAACATATCCGTGGTGGGACCCGGTGCAGTAGCTAGTGTGGAGGGGCCGAATCACCGCCACTCCGTTGCTGCAGGCGTCCTGTGACTCTTAGTAGCAAAGGTAATACAAGATATAGAGAATTGTACGCGGCATGTGCGTGGGGTTGAAGTGTGTAAGCATTAAAGAACGGGCTTTAACTCTCTATTTTACCATAAGACTGGAGATGACCGTAGAAGGAACCAGTTGTCGTCCTCTTGAAGCAATTATCACGCGGGTTTATGACTTTTCATAGAAGTATGACATGGAATCATGCATTAGGTAGAGAATAAAGCACATAGTCAAACGGTGACAGCTTGATCACGGTATGTGCTGGTTCTAGGACAGAACCCTGGAGACTTCCGAAAATGAGTTAGAATATTCTTATCAGCCTAGGGACGAACTTACGTAGCGCCGATTCCGCCTGGCTTAAGTTGTAGGGCTGCGGAGCATGGGTATGCTACCGGCATACGCGCATACATGTTTTTCGGAGACAGCGATTGGCGCGGGAGAGATTCACCAATCATGGGTGAGTAAAGAAGCCAAGAGGCTCTCGGAAGATGACAGGAAAGGAAAATGGGGCCAAAGACTAGTCTTTAGTGTCCAGAATGGCGCATACACCAGCAACAGCCACCACATCAAGCAACCGATTTGCTTGAACAACGGACCCTGAGCCGGCAGAGATGGCAATCTTATTTTGTGGCTGTGTAAGGACGAGCTACTTTGGCTGTTCTTCCTATGCCTCTTTCAGTAATTTTAAGGCTGTCCCAGTGTGTGCCTAAATCTTGGGCGGAATTGCGAGTATGTGCAAGGCAGAAAGGACGCCCTTCTGACTGATTGACTGAACGTGTGGGGATGACGGAGACTACGGTAACTTGTCCCATGGCCTTCTGCCTTGAGTGAACCATCTTCACCGGTACAGGTGGGGTAGCAGGAAAAGCAGACATTGAGTGCATCGACAGACCCAGGTGTATGCAACACGTCAGATGCTAAGAAAGAAGGACCGGTTGTGCACACGCTCGCAAATAGGAGATGGGATGGGATGGTTGAAGAGTGAGTCGTTGCCTAGACGAAGCAGCGACAAGACGTAGGTGGAAGACGAGGCATCGGAAAAGGCCGATGGTAGACAGTTTGTGTAGAATCGCAGGCCGGACGTGGATGTAGAGTGGATGTACTACGAGTATGGATCTGCCGATCGTGTTTTGCGGAGGCGGCGTGGAGAGGGGTGCTTAGTTGGGTTAACGTGTCACGTGCCGACGTGTTTGGCGAGCGGGACTGAAACCAACCGCGCCGCTTTTGTAGGCAAAGTAGTCGCCCTGTGCGTGGGGTGACATGGATGGCTCACTGGACTCTCTGTCTCGACATTTTGATTGTTGGATTCCGGTATGCGCGTCGTTGTGCTGGCGAGTCGAGCACAAGTCTTCACAACTGCCATGTCGTGAGATGAGGGTTTCTGCACGCGCACAACAGACCGGGGTTGTTCGGATAAGGCTGAGAGAACGGTGGAAAAAGCAACGCGCAAGAAGCCAGGAGAGGCAGCAGCGAGGGTTGAGTGCATATATTCACCATACGAAGCGCGTCGCGACTGTGTCGCCAAGTAGCCCCGCGATGGTCGTGCATGTATACGCGACGATCGGCGGGATGGGATAGACCTTGGACGTGAGGCTGGTGGGCGAGTGTGTGCACAGACGGCGTGTTCGTTCTTGGGGCAAGGTGGGCTGCACGACATAGCTAGGCAAGTGCAAGCAAGCGCCCGGCTCGGACCAATCTGATACGCACGCGACGGGAAGACGCGCTTCTCACGACCCTTTCCTGCCACCATATTGCGCGCGTTATTCTTTCTATAACCTCTGCATGCCGGCCAATTCTTGAAAATACACTGTTCTCTCCTCCCTACACCCGGTGCTGCCCCCTCACCATGACTTACTCGTCGCCCCTGCCCTCGTTTTCGTCGCCTGCGTCATCGCGTCTTCCGACGGTTAGACGCGCAAGTTTCAGTGGTCAATTGGCTTTTCTCGTCCATTCGCAGGAAACGGTTGCAAACCACATGCCTCCAGACGTCGACAACAAGGCTCTCGCTCGCCAGAAGAGAAGACGCACAAGGTACGTTGCCAATTCCTCCTCTTTCTGTTCTTCCATCTGGCAGCGGCCTGTGTTCGACATATACTCGCCATGTTCGACGCGCGCTGGTTCGTGCGCGGCCTACCACCCGGGAGCTATTCGGCCTACTACCCCGCGGGCAAGCGACACTCCAACATGGCATTGCCGCTGACCACGCCCGCCTGCAGCAAAGAAGACGAAGACATACTCAAGTCGGAGTACCTGAAGAACCCCAAGCCCAGCAAAGCTGCCCGCCTAGAAATTGTCAAAAAGGTCGCGCTCGGCGAAAAAGAGGTCCAGGTACGACCCATATTGCACCACGTCACGAGTATGCGCGCTCTTGCTAACTTGTATTCTTAGATCTGGTTTCAGAGTAAGTCGCTCCTTCCTCGCACCGCTGCGCATATCGCTGCTGCCTTGCACCAGACTGCCTCTGTCGTGCACCGCGCGAAGCTGCACCAACATTGAAACATGTCCTGATCATGCCTTGTACTAGATAAACGCCAGAACGACCGCCGTCGCTCGCGCCCTCTCGAGCCGTCGTCTACCGCATCATTCATGTCGTCGTCATCCACCATGTCGGACCCGCCCACCGAGGATGAAGTAGTGGCTGTTGCGCGCCGTATCGATAACGCGCCGGAGCCGCACGAGTCGGACGAGTGCCCAAAGTCCGATCCACCAGAGCAGCCCGCAACCCCCGAACTGACGTCCGACGAAACTATCCCAGAACCACGCACCATCGACACAGCTGTCTCCCCAGCTGTTGAGCATGAGAACGCAAACGAAGCAGCTATAGAGCCTTCAGCCGAAGCACAGACAGGGATAGCTCCACCCCAGACCACCAACTCTCAGCAAGCCATACCACTATCACAAGGTCCCACGCAATCACGCACATCATGGATTTCCAACCGCCGCAGTGCCTCATTCGTCCGATGCCTACAAGACTACACGCCTGAAGTCATCACCTTCCCGAATGCTCCGCCCAGGCCCTTGGAATCACCCGAAGCCTCAACAAAGACCCCTTCCCGTCCACTGAAACGCACGCACTCGTTTATGCGCTTGTCGACAAACGAGAATGGTACTGCCCGCATAGTCACCGACTTAGATAAGACGCCTTCACCGCCCAAATCAAAGAAGACTCCGTGTTCCTTTTCTCGTGCTGCGGCTGGGCTTCGACGAAGTTACAGCGCAGCAGGCTTAAATGATAGATTGGCTGCTGCAGCGCGAGGAGAGCCAAGTCCAAAGCTACCAAGGACAGGATCGAGCATTGGAAGGAGTAGGGACTCGCGTGCATGGG